ATAAATTAAAATTGAAAATGGAAGTTCCCTAATCAGTATGAAATAAGACAAAGATTTTGTTTGTTTTGCCTGTATATTTACTATCAAGTATATGGAAACACCGAATTCAGAATATGTTACCGTAGTTCAGGGCCCGGCCGGCCTTTAACTATGACATTACATTTTGAAGAACTTATGGTTTTGACCCTGACCCTCAAGGAGTTCTTAGTCTGAGAGTCCGATAGCTAACACCTATAGTCTGAATGCCAGCACACTTCTCTGAATGGGAGGGTGAAAATTATGCCATTGTAGATGTAGATAATGGCAAAGATCATATGCAGAGGATGAAGAGCCTTTTCTACTTGTAGTAGACTGTCCTCATTGGAAGACGAAACCTCATGTCCTCTGGAACTTTCAAAAGCAGTCGTTGAACTCTGCTTACTGTCGGCTAGTGACACTTAGAACCTTGTTTCCAGCACAAAAATTCAGTGAAAACTCTTCTTCCAGCAAAATGCACAAGTTTAGAGACTGCTTGGCAGCCATGACAACCTTCTCTGCTTCAAGTACCCTAAAGAGAATGTTCTCTTAGGTTGTAGTCAAAGATATCAGCACTTCTATTTTGTAGAAACTGGGTTGAGATCATCTGATCATTTTAATGTATTTTCTAGTTTTGTCTCTACCGTTAATTCTATTACTAGAAGAAAGAGGACGATTATAAGGAAAGTAAATTAGAGTTGTTGCTGTTCGGTGCTGCCACTTCAGCTCATCGCAGCTGTGGACAAAGGAACAAACACTGTGCCCTCCCGCAGATTCCTTGTTCTGTTTGAGCCCATCGTTGTCGCTGCTGTGTCAGTCTTTCTCTTCAAGTTCTTCTTCTGTTTTGCTGCCCATCTGCTTTACCAAGCATGATATCCTCATCACGTTTCTCCAGGGGGTAATCCCTCAGGTCTTGGCCTTGCCTCAGGAAAGAACACACCGAAGCCGGTTTGCAACCCAAGTGGGTTTTATGAAGGACAGGACAAGCTTCACGCTTTACAGTCTCCACAGTGTCCACAACTGGGCACGAGCAACCTCGTGGAAAAGCGCACCCACATCTGAGTAACTGGGGGAGGGATCCCAGGGACCCAGGGGTCGAGGGAGAAAGGGGCAAGAGGCTGGGGAAGGCCTGAGCACAGGAGCAAGAGGACTGGGGCAAGAGAGCCTTTGGCAAGAGAGCGAGCCATTATTATAGCCCACCTCTTGGCTGGGGGAAGATGGTTGAAGGTATTTGTTGACCCCATTGGCTGGGTTGAGCCCACCTTGGTGATGTCACGAGCCTGGGCCTAGTTTGGACCTCCCAGGTGTACCTCCCACTTGAATAGGAGCATGCTCAGTTTGGGGTTTTCTTTTTCTTTTTCTTTTTTTTTTAAACAAATACCAAATTTTATTTAGGCAAAATCATTCAATCAGAGAACATTAAAAAAACTAACAGGATCACTTCTATATTCGTTCTGAAAAGCAGTACAGTCAGAAAGGTAATTTCAGAATTCCGTAAGATGCTCCCACTAGCCATGATTTATGGTACATTTCATAACATCTTTGATATCAACCTCTTACAGGTGTCTGTTAATATGACATAACCTGAACTCTTGCTCGTTAGGTGTGATTTCTACTTTAACTGGTTGGAAGCTAATGGTACCCAGTTGTGCTGGTTATCATTGTCACTGATCTGAAGAGAGGATTTAACTACAGGAGGGAGATAGAACGAAAGAATAAGATTTGTGCTAAAATTTCGAGGCAGTCTAACAGTGAGAACAAAGTGATCTGAAATGTTTCCATGGGTGAAACACCCTGTCTGGCATTCCTGCACACAGGATCATTTACTAACTATGTTGCTATCAGAAGACTAAAATATCTTTACCCTTCCCTTCAATGTCTTTGGCCTTCACAAATTCAATGTTATTTTGAATAAATTATTTTTAAATGACATTGTGCTTTTCGAAAAAATCACTTATGTTGTAGCACACGAGTTACCATGAACATTTTTAGTCTTTCTCTTTTATTGCCGTTTTTTAAAAAGTTCCCTTAAAAAGTCCCCTTGGAGGCACGTCTCTGTTCTCACCTCCTGGGCCTCCTGGGCCCTCACCGCCATTAGCCTGGATTGTGGTACCAACCTCCTCAACACACTGCCTCCAGACTCAGCTTCCTCAAGTCATCCCCACAAAGGTCAGCTGCACATCCAATCGCCCCACACCCAGAGCTCCAAGAGAACCTGACCCACAGGTTCTCTGTGGACTTTCTGCTCAGGCCCTTCCAAATGTAACTGCAGACAAAACCCTGCAGGGAAAAGATGGGCAGATCAGATTACAGAAAAATTAGCTCTCTCGGCAAAAATCCACCATAACAAGAGGTGAGTGACAACATAGAAAGACAAAAGGATCTGCAATGTGTATGACAAAGGACAGATATGCTAAGTATGTAAACCTTCTAAACATCATTAAAAAGATGACCACCCCAATAGGAAAGTGGGCAAAGGGACACTAAGGACAAAATCACCACGGAAGAAAAGACTTAAAATAAAAGGAGAGGGAGGTGGGAGAAAGGAAAAGGGGAAAAGGCAAGGATGGAGGGAAAGTGAAGACAGGAAGGGAAGGTGTCGAACAGAGACCGCAAAGAGGGAAGCAATACCCAACGTGATGCCCTCTTCCATCAGTAGCAATGTCAAGCGCAGTGCTTCTGAGCCCAGTGTACCATGCACATTTACCCTAATGATTATTCAAAAGACTGGTAGATCAGCCCAACTGGCACTAACATACTAGCTTTATGTAAGGAAAGAGGGAAAGTGAAAAATCACTGCGGACAGTCTTCCTTGGACAAAATGGCTGAGGTATGGATGGCATCAACATATCAGGACTGATCACATGAGGATAGCAGCTCTCTGTTGTGATTTCAAAGAACAAAATAAAATACGTCAATCAGCAGCTACTTAAAAAGTAAAACTACAAATACAAGGAAATTGTTTTTAAAACTTGAACACTTCTGGGAGATGGGAAAACAAGGAGTAAGAAGCCTACATGTACCCACCCCATCTTCAAATTGAGAACCATACTGTGAGACGTCCTTAGCAGTTCCAATTTCAAGTTTGTGCTGTATACTTGTGCAAATGTTTTGCTAAGGCTTGAGGAAGACCAACACATTACTGTAATCATTTGCGTCCTAAATTGTCTTGACATAGATTCTTCCCTGTACCGAGCTTGAAAAATGGAGCTTGATCTAGCTTATACATAAATCTCCCCAAGAAAAGTTTTCGATTTTTCTGTTTGAGAGTTTGATTTCAAAACAGAACAGAAACAAGTTTCACAACCAGTCACAGCATCTTCTCTTGGTGTGTAACTCAGAAGCAATCGTAAATGTTCAAGTGCACGTTAGAGGCGTTGCCGCTGCTTTTAGGCAGTCCAGTTCTGTCCACTATCCTCCCACTAGCCAGAATGGCAGAGTAAAGCAAAAGCAAATGGTTTTAACAGTATACAACTTGAATAGGAGCATTCTCAGTTTGGGGTTTTCATTGGTGTCTACTGGTCACCTAATTTCCTTCCAACCTCCTCAAGGGGGCCTTTGCAGGCGTGGGAGGGACAACCTCCTGGCCCCAAATCTAGCTACCTACCATCCTTATGCACAGGGACTGGCCTCTCCTGAGAACACTTGAAAAAAGCGTGTGATCGATGTAACAACGATGAAAAATACAACTTTCCTCTAGTTCCTAAATGTTTCCTCCCCGCTCCCACTACCATGACTTGAATTCGACCTTGCAAGTCTGGCTAGACCAGAGGATGTACACTGGTATAGATAGGAACTGAAAATCTAGGGAATCCAGGGCGGATGAGCCCTACAGGACCAGTGGTGTGAGTGGCGAAACAGGGAGGGTAGAGGGAGAGTGGGTAGGAAAGAGGGAACCGATTACAAGGAACTGTGTGTGACCTCCTCCCTGGGGGACCGACAACAGAAAAGTGGGTGAAGGGAGATGTCAGACAGGGCAAGATATGACAAAATAACAATTTATACACTATCAAGGGCTCATGAGGGAGTGGGGAGCGGGGAGGGAGGGGGAAAATGAGGACCTAATGCCGGGGGTTTAAGTGGAGAGGAAATGTTTTGAGAATGATGGGGGCAATGAATGTACAAATGCGCTTTACACAATTGATGTGTGTATGGATTGTGATAAGAGTTCTATGAGCCCCTAATAAAATGATTTTTTTTTTAAAAGTGTGTGAGATAAAGCCTTGCTATCCTTGCCTCACAGGAGCATTCTGGCTTTACTTCTTCCAAGATAGATTTGTTTGTTCTCTTAGCAGTCTGTGTACTTTCAATATTCTTCACCTCCACCATAATTGAAATGCGTTGATTGTTCTTTGGTCTTCCTTATTCCATGTCCAACTTTCATATGCATGAGACAATTGAATATACCATGGCTTGGGGCAGGTGACCTTTAGTCCTTAAAGTGACAGCCTTGCTCTTCAACACCTTAAAGCGGTCTTATGCAGCAGATTTGCCCAATACAGTGCATCGTTTGATTTCTTGACTGGTGGTTCCATAAGCATTGATTGTAGATCTAAGGAAGATGATATCCTTGACGATTTCAATCTTTTCTTCACTTCTCATATTGCCTATTGATCTTATTCTGAGTAAAATAAGAGTGAAAATGACAAATATGTAATGTTTCGAGTTAATCATAGGTTTATTTTTTTGAAGATATAAACAATCTGAGGTTTATATATATTTTAATAGTAAAACAATTGCTAAGCTGTTCTGCATTATCTGATATTAAAGAGTTAATCTCATGTGCTAGTTTAAGAGTAGAAATTCTGTTTTAGCACCTTTGAGAGCATCAATTGATAAAATGAAACCATATTCTCTTAATTTTGAATTATGTATTTTATCTAAAATTAGACATTTTAATATTTAGAATCCAGTGCTATTTAACATGTAATACAGTAGCACTTAAAGAAGTAAAATATTTGAATAATTTTTTTTCATTTATTCAGTACACATTTTGGAACTTCATACCCAAGAACTTATTTGAACAATTCAGAAGAATAGCCAACTTTTATTTTCTTATCATATTTCTGGTACAGGTAAGTCTGGTCATTTTTTCTATCAAAGCACAAGGCATGTTGGCATTGTAGGAACTAATGAGCTTAAAACATAAGCAGTCAGTTAATGTTGAAGCTGGTTTGGGCCCCCTTTCTGTCGTCATCATCATTATCTTTTTAGTAATAGGAAGAAAATTTAAATTTGCTAATATTTTGAAATGAATCCAGTAGCCAAGCTGATCATGATTACGTGTATGCTAAGCCTCATTGGATCCTACAAAGACAAAGAAGTCACACAATAAAAATGAATAGAGACTCCATATGGCCAGGAATAACTAGGGAACAATAAATCAGACGTATTTTCAGAGCAGCAGCCTGATTTTTCTCAATCATATAAAGTATATGAAAAGGCCTTTTAAAATTCCCCAAGTACTAAAGTGTTCAAAGAATATAGTTAAAATGTGGTACCAGAATTGTTCAAAGGTAACATACACTGGAATCAGACTTGTACCTTTGCATGGCTAATAGCTAATGGATCCATCCTTAGGCCTAGCCACGCATAAGAACCACTAGGAGCAGAGGGGCATGTGGCTGTGGCTGTTGTTAGGGGCCATCCAGTCAGTTCTGACTCGTAATCAGCTGTGTGTAACAGAAGATGATGCGCTTAACTCAGCCTTGCTAAAGCCACTAATAATGCATTTTAATGCTGTTGTACTTCTTTTTTAATTGCAGTTGATTATTGATACACCCACAAGTCCTGTAACAAGTGGGCTTCCGCTATTCTTTGTCATTACTGTCACAGCTATCAAACAGGTAAGAAATTTAAAAAGAAAACAAAAATCTTATTCCTTATGTGATATCTCCTTTCATTCCTAACAGAGCACTCTGGTTTATTTTAGCTAGTTAATAGAAATTTTAACTTGGTTCTAGAAATTTATTTTTGAAGCTTTTTTCTTTTCAGCAGATACTTGTTAAAATCGAGAAGCTATGTGATTTGATTGTTTGTTGCTCTTTGAGCTGGAGGAGACTTGTTTTCCACATTCTTGAATCCACCAGAGAAGACCTCTTCTTTCAGATGAGCTGTTTAACCAGTTTGAGCCCTAAGCTTTTTTGACCACAAGAATGTGGTGTTGCCTCAGAAGGCCTCGGAATAAAAAGTTCCTACAGCGTTGAATTTCTTCTTCTGATTCGTTCATAGTTTTCAAATGTGGGTCATATTTTATTTTCTAGTCGTGATATAAATAAAGGTAGTAATCGACGTCAAGACAATTACATCTCTGTTATTTCCATCATTCACTTAGCCATTGAGATTTCACATCCGAAACTGCTTGGACTAAATCAGGGGAAGCTCCTTCTTTGTGTGAAGCGAACATAAGAGATCTGTGCTAACTTTTCAGCAACCACAGGTGACAGATAGGACGACTTCCCACATAAAATAAGACCAGTGTGAAAATGAAAACTTGGGCTTTCCCTAGCATCGTGCACTTCTGGTGAGGACCAGTACCTCCTGTGTAGGTGAGGAGCGATCTTCCCTAGGCCTCAGGAGATGAGGCATCGCCCTAGGACAGGTATTGGCACTTGGGCCGAATCCAGCCAATGCCTGTTTTGTTTGTTTTTTTTTACAAAAAATTTTATTTACAAAAATAAAGTTTTCGTGGAACATCTCAGTGCCAGTCTCATTGATCACCTATAGTCCACAGCTGTTTTCTCACTACAGCAGTGCAGTTAGGTCGTTGCAATGGAGACCATACGGTTCACAGTCTAAACTGTTACTCTGTGGCCCTGCTATTGCCTATGAAGTCCTTTCACCTCAAGAGTGGGGTGAATTTGAATAGCATATAAAAGTAAACTGGTTTCACCCTGTGTTTTAGTAAGCGATGTACATCGTCTCCTAACTTCGAAGGGAAATACTTCATTGTTATTCAGACCTTTGTCTGATTTTGGTTTTTAGTATATTTTTATCTTCATCACTGTAATCAGCTCTTTGGATACCTTGTTCCTACACTTTTGTGTACTAAGAAAGAGTATACATCATTGTTTATTCATGATCTTTAAACTTAAGTGTATTTTCACGTCTAGCAAAACCTAAATCCACATACTCCTCAATTGGTTTAGAACACATGCATACTATATCTCTTAATTTCACTTTTTTTCAAAATACTATAACCAAACCTTAGACCCTATCTCATAGGGTCTTTTCAAAGGATTTTCAAAG